GATTGTGGGGCTGGCGCGGGATCGGGCAGTGTTTCGTTCTGCTGTGCATGGGGTCGCTATGAGTCGGAAACGACTCGACGGCACTTAACAACAACATCAACAACAATTATGTTACCTAGCTCTGGTAGTATAGCAAGGCATCTGGCTGCTAACCAAAAGGTCAGCTGTTTGAACCCACAACTGCTCTGCGGAAGTCTGTTTTGATAAAGACTTACAAACGTGGAAACCGTGTGTGTGTGTGTGTGTGTGGGTCCACTACGAGTCGGAATTGATTTGATGGCAGTGAGTTTAATTTTGGATTATGTTACCGAGCCACTTTTATAAAGACACCTAGAATTTGGAGCCAAAATAATATTTCCCTCCAGAAAAAATTATTTACTGTCTTCTATCATGATGTCAATGAGAATCATATGACTTTATATAAGACAACATCTTAATTAAAGGATGAAATGAAATAAATTTATAGAATATACTGCAAATGTTTTTCTTTTCAAAAGAATTTAGTACATGTTAAAAGTAGTAAAATAGTAAGATTACCAGTTTATCAGCAGGGTGCTAGTAAACGGAAAAGTAAACTATCAATCTAAAAACAGCCTTACAGAAATGGGATAAAACAGATTTTAGTTAGGTAAAAGCACACAGCTCTGAAACGGATTTCTCAAGCTGAGTAACCTGTTTCTAAATTACTTGTTTTATGTGGCAAATATTTACTGAATATTTGCCTACTTTGCCTACTAACTGATGACGTAGTGCCTAAAGGATGTGACTGCTAACCAGAAGGCTGGCAGTTGAAACCCACCAGTGACTCCTCGGAAGAAAGGTTGGGCAATCTACTTCCGTAGTGATACCGCCTCCGAAACCCAAGGAGCGGTCACTATGAGTCAGGCCGACTTGACAGCACATAAGAACAACAACAACAACAGCAACAAAGATCCTTGCTCTTGGTTAGTTTCTAAACTAGTGGGTGACAGAAACAACACACTGTCACACAAATGAATGTAAAATTCCAAACTTTGAGATTCTGACTAAATCCAGGAAAGTAGCAAAATGAAAAGCTGTTAAAACAAGGCTAGAGTTATCTGAGGAAAACTAAGAATACACATATGATAGTAGGTAGCACCTGGACTGTTGTCTCTTGCTGTCATCTGCATAAGCAGTGCCATCTGCTTTCGCTCAGACAGTGGATAACCAAAAAGAATGCTAACTGGTGTAGATTTCTTATTTCCAGCTTCCTTTTTTGTCTTCTTCTTTTCTGGACCTTCTTTCTCTGAAAATATGTAGGAATATGAAATAAATATAAGTACTCAAAAACCAAACATTAAGATTTTTAAAAAACAGATGCTATTTATGTATATGAGAAATGTACATAATATATGAGGTAGTAATAGACAGACAAAAGAGCATTAGATTATACTATATAAGCAATTTTCTTCCTGAATGCTTTGAAAAAGTATATTCTTAACGCCATTGTTTTCACACAATAACATTTAGTAAAATTCACATTTTAATGATTTCTTCTATTACAATTTAATTTCTTCAGTAACATTTAAAATGTCCTTAGTATTATATGTTTGAAACTTCTATTTCATTAACTATAATTTTATTCTTAATTACTGCTAATCTATATAGCAGTATGTTTTTAATGCATTTTATTGAAATATAATTTATTACAGTGAAATACACAAAACTAAAGTGACATGGGTCAGTGCATTTTTTTTTTTTTTCCCAGCACTCCTTCCCATCCCCTCCCACCCCTGGCAACTAACAAAGAAAGTTTCCCTCCATATATAAACCTTTCCTTGGCTCTCCACAACAGCGAACTAATACTGTATTTGTCCTCCTGTGATTGACTTATTTCACTCAGCATAATGTCCTCCAAGTTCATCCATATTATGCAGTGTTTTGCAGACTCTACATTCTTCTTTAGTGCTGCATAGCATTCCATCACGTGTATATACCATAGTTTTGTCATTCACTCTTCCACTATAAATCTTGGAGGTAAGTCCCTTGCCAGATACGTAATTATCAGCAAATATGAATTTGTTGCTGTCCTTTTTGTTATGTGCTTTTTTGTGGTGTTGTTTGTTCCACATAATTTTCTATACTGAGCTTGTTTTGTTTATGGATCATGTTATCACTTCCTTCATTGCTACTGTTTTAGTATTTGCTGAATATTTATGCTGCTCTTCTTTTTCGATGTGAAGGTTTAACGTTTTTCTTTGAGGTTATCCTGTGATTATAGTTTTTTTCCCAAGTTTAGAACAGTCTGTTCTATCTTGTAGTTGTCTTGGCTTCCCTACCATCTAGAAGTTTTTTAACAACACAGTTTTTCCCTCTTTTAGTTTGTATTGTCCTCAATTATCAATTGATGCCTCCAGTTCCCTGTTTACAATCTTGTAGGCTTATTTACTTTGGATACTTCCATAGCTGGGTTGGTTTCTGAGTTATATCATCATCTGTGTTAATGGTCAGTTGTTGTTGGCTGTTGTTGCTTCTCTGTCCAAAGGGCTCCCTTTAGCATCTCTTGTAAGGTTGGTCTGGTTTTAACAAATTCCCTTAATTTCTGTTTTTCTGGAAATGTCCTTAATTTCACCATCATATCTGAGGAACAATCTTGCTGGGTACATAACTCTTGGTTGGAAATTTTTCTCTTCCAGGGTTTTATACATACCATCCCATTGTCTTCTCACCTGCATAGTTTCAGTCGAGAAATCTAGGCTTAGTCCTATTGGATGCCCCTTGCAGGTAACTTTTTGTTTTTCCCGTGCTGCTCTCATGATTCTTTGTCTTTGGTTTTGGTAAGTTTGATGATGATATGTCTGGGTGATTATCTTTTGGGGTCTATCCTGTTTGGGATTCATTGGACTTCGTGAATGGCTATATTCTCATCTTTCATCATACCAGGAAAATTATCTTCCAACAAATCTTCAACAATTTTCTCTGTGGTTTTATTTGTCTCTTCCTGTTCTGGAATTCCGACAACATGTAGATTATTCCTTTTGATGGTATCCCACATGAACCTTAGGCTTTTTTCATTTTCTTTTAATCTTTTTTCTGATTTATCCCTTACCAAAGAAGCATTCAGGTATTTGCCTTCAATCTCCCTAATTCTGTCTTCCATTGATTCAATTCTGCTCCTTTGCCCATTCAATGTCTTATCTATTTCTGAAAATTTAGTATTAATCTTCTGAATTTCTGTGTGTAGATTTTGTATCATTTCTAATTTTTCATTTATTTTGTCATTTTGTTCTTGTATTGTCTCTCAAAATTGTTCTAGGGTTTTCTCTTTGTTTTCCTTGATATGTCTCTCAACTCGTTGAAAAATACCTAAATATAATTCTTTTGAATTCCTTATCAGAAGTTCCAATGCTGCATCTGTGTCTTCCTCAGGGATGTGTTTTGGGTCTGTACCCTGGTCCCTTGTTTCTCCTGCTTTATATTGCTTCTTTGTGTGGACCGAGATGTTCTGTTGTCTCTGAGGCATTGTGATATTTTTGTGTTTATATTTAATTGGTGATTGTATGTTGGAGTAACTTACCCACGATTTTCAGTTTCTTTGTTTTGTTTGTATGTTATCTACATAAGCAGGGTACTATGCTCCTCTATTCGCTAGTTGACAGCACTTATACACTCACCACCTGTCTCCTTTCCTGTTGTCAGCCTCTCGTATGTCCCTGCTGACGTTGGCAAACAGAGCCTATTCTTAGGTTCCTGGAATTCGAATGAGAATGCTATCACTTTAAAATCCAAAATGGCCACCATTGTACACATTCAAAATGGCTGTGCCCTCCGCACAGAGGAAAGTCAACAGCTCAGGTTGTCTCCCTCCTTGCTGTTTCCCTTCCTAGTCATAGGTCACCAGTGCAGTCGTCCCTGCAGCCCTTGGTGACAAGGGCTGATCTTTAGGTCAATTCTCAGGTCCCAACACCACTTGGAAATATTCAGGCTGTTGGTCTCATCAGAGTAGCTGACAGTCCACAGCTCTGACCGTCTCTGTACTCACTGTTTTCACTCAGGTCTGTCCACTAGTTGGTGCCTAATCTACTTCAGTATAGTTCCTTTCAAAGCTCAGGGCTCCAGGATAATCTTCTGTATCTCTGTCAATTGGTTTTTCTTTCTCTGTTGAAGAGGGTCTGTGTCGCTTGTCTGCCTATTCCTCCCTATTACCGGAAGCAGCAGCAATATTTCTTTAAGTTACTCCTGATTCCACTAATGATTTGTACAATCTACCACTGAGTTAAGTGTCTCATCATTTAGACAAGCTTCATCACATAGTGATGGAAAAAAAGTACCCAATCACTTTCTTCTTGTCATATGATAACTGAATGAGAACGATACTTATCAAAGCTAAAAAGTGGCAAATCAGAGGTTTTGTGTAGCAGTGGGTTACTAGAGATCCTATAAGGTGCAAAAACTTCCAAGACTGCTTTTAAAAGATCTGATCTGGCATAGTGTCTAAGGCATCTGACTGCTAACCAGAAGGCTGGCAGTTCAAATTGCAGAAATACCGCCTCAAAAACCCAAAGGGGCCGCTATGAGTTGGAATCAACTTGATGGCAGTGAGCTGGAGGTTGGATCTGTCATAAAGTCATCTTTCAGATTTGATCATGCAGTCCGCAGTACTCATTCAGTGGGAAGAAAATCAGGTTGAACTGGATTCCACAGGTGATTGCAGATGCAAATGTTTTTCCTTTCTCTAGGAATTCCCTGGGAATAAATTCAGATGGCCCTATGCAAACTAATGTACGCAGCTGGTTATTACCTGTCTAGGTATCTACTTCCACCAGCCACTCCTCGGAAGGAAGGTTGGGCAATCCTACTTCTGTAGTGATACTGCCTCGGAAACCCAAGGAGAGGTTGCTATGAGTCGGGGCCGACTCAACGGCACATAACAACAACAACAACAACAGGTATCTACTTCCTAGTAAATCTTATAGCCCTTTAGAAGTATCTGGGATTTACAAATCAAGGCTTGAAGGTCCTTAAAGAAAAGATCTACAAACTTAAAGAAATTAAAATAAAAATGAACTGAAAAAAAAAAAAGCAAAAATGCATGGAAGAAGAGAAGTTAATAGTGTCTTTTTCAGGCAGACGTGGCCAGCCACTAGAATACTCCATGAGATAAACATTTGATAATTTATAAAGTCTCAAGAAACTAGTAATAGTTTGGTATTATTAATAGGCCTATGAATTTTAGGTAATAATTCTAGTGAACCACTTGTTTAATTAAGATACTGCCATTCTAACAGCCTAGAAAGAGTAGGGGACCTAAAGCTCTGTTGCCCACAAACCACTCAAAATTCAGTAGATCCTAAAATGTCTGTTTTGTTGATTATTTATTTTTTGTATACAAGAATTGTTCAAGACTTATTTAAATCAATCTTTACTCATAGTTCTAATACATTCTTTTATTTTCGTATTTCTCCTATCATTATCACTAATAATCCAATTTAATATAAATCCAGTTTCCTCTCAGTATTTATTTAACCAATCACTAAATTTATTATAAAGCCCAACACAGATCTTTTGGAGAAGTCTATTTTTTTCTGACAAATGTACTTCTCCCATTAGTTTTCTGTATACTTATCTTGGTTCTCTACTATTTACTGGGGAACACAATAGTTAATTCCAACTCCTGGTGATCCCACATGTGCAAAGTAGAACTGCTCTATATGGTTGTTATTTTAATGGCTTTCCATTTCAATAAAAAATATTTAAATAAAATAAATGTTGTTGTTGTTGTTGTTGTTATTTGCCATTGAGTCGGAGCCGACTCATAGCGACCCCTCCTTGGGTTTCAGAGGCAGTATCACTACGAAGTAGACTGCCCAATTTTCCTTCTGAGGAGTGGCTGGTGGTGGGTTTGAACTGCCAGCCTTCTGGTTAGCAGTCAAGTGCCTTAGGCACTATGCTACCAGAGCTCCCCAAATAAATGTACTTCCCCCTAAAATTAAAATAGTTAACGGCGTGAAAATTTTATAGAAAGCAGACAAGAAGAGATGTTTTAAGGAAAAGAAATAAAATTTTGTAATTGGAGGAAACAAAATAAATGCCTGTTACATAATGTTTTGAAAAGAATATGCTCTAATGTGACATATACCTAGTTTAGAGAAAAAAGTGAGACACTTATAAATTCATTATTAGAATTCCAGTCTGCCAAATAGCAAAGACATAAGTATGACATTTTGGAAAAGAATGAATAAACTGAATATACTGTAAATATTTAAGCAAAAATTCAAGTAAGATGGCAGCATCCAATTTGAACTTTGTTTTTTCTCTAATTGAGCTAGTTACCTTAGTGCTTTGTTTGCGTTCATGTTTTACATGGGATAAGAAAAGAAGGTAAATGAACAGTAGCTGGTGTAAGGTATTCAGGTTACAGATAATTATATATACATCTATTATTCTTCAATACCATGTTATATTAAAATGTCCCAAAGTGTGCTTTTTCAAGTTTAAAGCATTCAACAAGAGTTTGACTATCTGGGGTCTATCCTGTGAAGAACTTGTTCCCTCTGACCTGTCCAAATAAAATATTATCATATAGTACATTTGAAAAGGAGGTACTTCTCAAGTTTCAGTTATAGAAACATATTTTTATTTGTTCTATAACAGACCTTTAAAGCATCACTATACGGACAAAATATGCTCATTTTGTGGAATCTACTATAGATTTGAAATTCCACTCAGCCTGCCTAGAGATTGTTGTTGTTAGTCGCTGTCTAGTTCATTTTGATTCATGGTGACCCCATGTATGCAGAGTAGAACTGCTGTACAGGGTTTTCAAGTCTGTGACCTTTCAGAAGCAGATCACCATCTCTATCTTCCATGGCGCCTCTGGGTGGGTTTGAACTGTCAACTTTTTGGCCAGTAGATAAGTGCTTTAGCTTTTGTGCCACCCAGGGACTCTACCTAAAGATCAGTTATAGGAAAAGATCCAAATGATTTACTTAAAATCATTGAAAAGCAAAAACTCCAAGACAAATGGGTTTTAATAATCTAACATTCTTTTTTCACGGTTCACAGAGCTTCTGCAATGTTTTCTTTTCAGGTCTTATCAGAATAAATATATAACTATCACATACAATTAAGTACATTAAGGAAAAAAGACAAAAGTTGTTTTTCTTGGGGAACTGGTGCATAAACCTCCAGTGTCTCAAAAATTAAAGTAAGAATATAACATTTTCCCACAAAGCACTGTGTCAGGAACAGAACATTCTGGATAAACATAGTTATATCAATCATATTTGCTGTATATAAACCTGCAGCATGTATACCTTACTTCTGAGAACAATTTTTTCCCTTACTTTCTAGTTCTAAAATAACTATATGACTCTCTGATAGCCGAGTGTCTGTATCTTCCAGTTGCTAATTTTTAGCAATGACACTAAGATCCTAGATAGCTTCATCACACACAGCTCTTTCAGGTGCATCTTGGTGCCTTATCAGTTGCCACTAAGTTGATTCTGATGTATGGTGACCCCATGTGTTGCACAGTAGAACTGTGCTCCATAGGGTTTTCACACTGCAACCTTCAGGAAGTTACCACCAGGCCTTTCTTCTGAGGTGCTGCTGGGTGGGTTAAAATCTCCAAATTTTTGGCTAGTTGTTGAGTACTTAACCATTTCAGCCACCTAGGAACCCTCGTGGTGGTTAGCAGACCCATTTTAGAAAAGTATGTCTAACTTCACAATAAATGTAGCAGGTCTTTTAATTGTAATGCTAATTGTAAATATGTACCCTTAAAATTTTGATAACTAAGTACTACTGATTTATCAGCTCAATTAACAGCTTTAACAGTATAAATTTAAGGGTATTTATTTGGTTTCACTACCACTTCATTCAACTCCATAAATTTACAAAGTAAAAAATTATACTAGAAACCGAAGGTTAATTTCAGTTTTCACAGCTAAATGTCCTATGCTGAAAACTATTCACTTCAATACCTGGGGATTAAACAATATTTACATTAAGAAAAGCCCAGAGATAAATATGTCAGCCCACTTAAAAGGAAAAAACAAAACACCTAAAAACATTTAACCAACTGTTTTTCACATACTAGAGAGTATATTTACTTTTTATTTTAAAATGGTAATATTTCTATATTCTCTACTATCCATGAATCAAAATATGTAAAACTGTACCACAGCAGAAGAGAGAGGTCCCAATACAGTTAATGATAAAGGTATTTCTCCAGGTAACTTGGTGTTTTAATCTACTTTGAGTAAAATTCAACACAGCTAGCAAAGTCAAAAAAAACTAAAGAGTTCAGTGGAAAATAGTTTAATCTGTTTTTTAAATACACTGCATCAGTGAAGGATAAGATGACACTGTCTATCACAATCAGTATACTTACTTCATATACCTTGTGAAAGATATACAACAAAAGACTATGGGAATCTTCCCATAGGGATTGTGGCAATCAGTATTCCAGGGGTTGCTTTTTACATTATTTTTCATGTGACTTGTGCCCCCAAGTTGTGCTGTAAAAAACATGACTGGTGGCATACAGTATACATTGTATGTTTAGAAATGAGGGACTGGGTATCTTAGAACAAAAACTGAGTAATTTGGTATCATTCCTATAGTTCATTTATTCAAACAAATATATCTATAAACTGTTTTGAAAAGTTATTTATAGTAGAAATAATTGTAAATATGACAGAAACCACTGGCTAAACAGGAGTACCTGATGATCTAATTACCTGAGTATGTCCTGTAAGAAGATATAAGTCTCTCCCCCCAATTTTCACTTGTATGTCCTGGATCTGAATCTACAGAATGAGAAGAGACAGGAGAAAAGAAAAAAAGCACACGAAGGGAAATGCAGAATTCAACAAACCAACATTTTTTCAAGAGACCAGTTAATCAATGATCTATCATTGGTTTCCCAAAAGATTATTTTTAAGGTAAAACCAAAAGCACATTTTGAACACATATCTGGCCAACACCTAAGGTTTCAGATTCTTCGAACAGAAAATCTCACAAGTTGAGGAAGTCAACCATTCAGTTTGCAATAATAGAGACTACTGATGCTGCTCATTAAACATACCATCTCCTTTGAAACTATGTATTTTTTTTTTTCAATTTCTGAATAATTATACAAGAGGCAGTGCTGTATCACTATTTTTCTTGGATAATGGAACAGAATCACTCTTTTGTTCCATGAGTGCCAAAAACTACTCAGAAGACAATAAAACACTTTGCACTGCAGTATCATTCACTACAGACCTTTCCATAAATTAGATTTCAAATTATACGAATTACTACAGTGACCACTATTAAAGACTTCTTAGAAAGAAAACAGCCTAAATCACAACAGAGTTTATCAGTTAAGAATATGAAATTTTCATGACAGAGAAATAAGAATATGGAGAATTGACCTTGGCTTTATGTCCAGAGTAGATATTTTTACTTATAAATAATATGTCATTTTAACGCACAATAATACTGTGATCTTCACATCCTCAATTTTCTGACATACACTTTCTTTCCAGAATCATTATTATAGGCATCATTTAAACGAAAGTGTTAAAAACCACAAGAGACCAAGTAACCTCTTAACCAGACTACTTAAAATTTTAAAAACAAACCAAAAAGTTTATTAGTAAGGTTTATTCAATTAAAAGGGGGAAAATCATTAGTAACTCTTCAAATTCAAACTCACTGCTGTCGAGCTGTTTCTGACTCATAGCGACCCCTCCTTGGGTTTCCAAGGCAGTATCTCTATGGAAGTAGAGTGCCCAGTCTTTCTTCCGAGGAGTGGCTGGTGGGTTTGAACTGTCAGCCTTCTGGTCAGCAGTCAAATGCCTTAAACAATTTGCTACCAGAGCTCCTAGCAACATTTAGACCAATTATAATATAAATGGGTTGGTTCATTTAATATTTCTATATTCATTACCAAGTAGGAAGAGTCTGACATATTATAAACATTCAAATTTACCCCTTCAACCTAATCCTAAACACTAGACTTTTCTTTTACCCCTGAGATCTAATTTTGTTATTTGTACACATTTCCAAAAATGATTGCTAGACTGTAGGATCCATGAGGCTAGGGATTATGTCAGCTTCATTTATAAATGTACATTTAGGGCTTAACTCAGAAGATGGCAAGTGGGTACTCAAATATTTGCTTAATGGCTTGAATGTCACGGTTTTTCAATGAACATTTATATTTTGAAACTGAGTGCATTTAGTTAACAACTATAAAAATGCCGTAAGGAATAATATTTAACATTTCATTTATAGACAATCAAAACATTAAAATAGCCTCCATAGTTCGTGAAGCAAGCACAGTGGATAATTTCAACTTTTAATCATATGCATCAATAAAAAAAGGTTTGTCCATACCTTCCTTTGGAAGTAACCAATGCACCCTATCTCCACATACCTCTTGGCCTATACTTAATTAAGCGACTGTATTTGGGGCATTTGAATATATTATATACACTGTTGTTGCTGTTAAGTGCCGTCGAGTCATTTCCGACTCACAGCTACCCCATCCACAGCAGAACGAAACACTGCCTGATCCCGCGCCAGCCCCACAATCCCTGCTATACTTGACCCATCATCGCAGCCATCGTGTCAATCCATCTCGTTGAAGGCCTCCCCCTCTTTCGTCGAACCTCCACCCTACCAAGCATGACATCCTTCTCCAGGGAATGGTCCCTTCTGACAATATGACCAAAATAGGTGAGACCAAGTCTGGCCATTCTTGCTT